AGTTTCTAAAACTCCTTTCTACTTGCCCAAACGATGATCTCTCAAAACTAAGCAAAACCAGCAATAATGTCGAAAAACATGTTGGCGGACGACACCAGCATAAAGACACCAGTTGAACAGATTGATCGAACAAAATGTATTCCAAGACGAAGATGTTCTTATTGATTCCCCCTGTGCTTTCTGATGGAGGTTTGTTACAATTTCTTCATTTGACTACTCATAACTATGTTCAGCTCGACGCTTGTGGCTATTAAAATCCTTCCCTCATACAGCACGAGTTTAATCTTTGCCGCTTTTGGTCGTTTTCCTAGCAAAAGTCTGGGCAGAAAATGCTGCTCCTCGACATCAATCCACAAAATTAAAACTGTTCCCCTTGGAAAGCCCGCATTATTTAATAAACGTTTTATGCGAAATCATGCTAAACCATCATTATCAGATCCAAATCCTCTTTTATTGCCGACCGGCGTTTGATACCAAGAATTACCTTTATTCGGCTTTATTAAGACATAATTTATGATCTTTGATCATACGCCAGATACATTGATTTGCAATTAATCGCACCAAAAAAGCGTAATGTAATTCTTATCTATCGAGAGTTGGTTCAAAACAATTGAAATTCTACAACAAATAATTCAATTCACTTAAGATAATTAGGTTCTAAATATTTCGGCGTGTTTATGAGCTAAATTGCACGCAAAAATGACGCTGGACGTTTCGTCACCGTCCATATGACACCAATTAATTAGTGCCTTAAAAATTAGGAAGCGATTTACGTTGGGAAAACAATTAGCTGGTACAATCATCGTTTATTAGCTCTGACGTATTAATTAGTGGGCGCCAGTGGAGATGCTAATTTGCTTGGCAAAATAATAAAAATTGCGCGCAGTACTAGTCTTCGTCTTTGGTATTCTTCGAGTTCCACCACTGGATTTCAGCTTTTCCAAAGAGAATGAAAAACGTGCCCGTTATCACTGCAATGACTGACAATGATACGAAAATCCACCTCCACATCACGATATCTGTCTGAAATGAAAAAATATACCCACAATCGTCTAGATCGGACACAGTCAAGTCCAAATGCTTACCAAGTCAGTGGCCAGATCCAAAAGCATGGGCGCAAACATAGCGATCACCTGAGCCAACGTGTTCTCAATACTCAACAACACGCCCGCATATCTAGGGGACAAGTCGACGTGATTTACCAAAGAGCCGAAGATTTCCACTGCTCCAATTGCGTTGAGATTGAGCAAAACCACTGCTAAAACACGCTGTTCTTGCGACAAGAAGCCCAACCAGATGAGGAGGAGGGCAGGAACGTAGCAACCTAGAAAAGAGGAAAATTGACTCCAGCGGTTCAGCTAAAACTCGCGAAACCCCCACCAACTGCCTGCGCCAGTCTTCTCCAAGTCCACAAGCTAAAATGCCCTCTTGAGACGCAATAATCGCCTAAAAGAGCCACTGGGATGTTAATCAGCAGCTGGACCACTGAAGGCGACGCGGTTACAGCTCCGTTCTGAAACCCAGCTTAATATCACTCCTCTGAGGCATTTCACCTGTGAAGCTGTGCTCCCTTACTAACCGAGGAAATATCGAAGCCCAAAGCACTGCCCAGATAGGTCGGAATGGCGTTTTCCGTCAAAGTGGAGTTCCACGAGATGCCAGCATTTGCCACCGCAATCGCCCAGAAGGGGAGTGAAGTGAGGATTGCCCTGAAGGGAACTGATCGGATGTCCTCCTTCTCTCTCGTCTTCAAGGACTTCTCTATGTAGTCGCGCTCGATTTCTTTGATAATGGCGTGATCTGCCGGAGAGTCGGAGGCCAAAACAGCCCAAAACAGGCACCAGATGAGGCTGATGGTGCCCAAGATGTAAAACACTGCGGGCCACCCCCACCAGCTGGCTGATATAAAGCCGGTGCTCAGCATTGCTATGATGTACCCCACTTTGTTTCCTAAACAGGAAAAACTATCCAGAATTTTGCTAGCGAAGCGCTTTGCGGTCAATACCAGCTCTGGCAATCATACAGAGCAACGATCGCTCGTTTTCTGGCACCCACAGCCCCAAGGCGTGATGTATAGCCGGGTAGCAAAAGCCTTGGAATAGGCCTTGGACTATCCTACAAAAAGAGCTAAGTGACGTCGAGCTCAGTAGGGCAAGCACGCTTTTACCTGCATACGATCAGCCCGGTGGATCCGAAGCGGAAAACCGCGGCAGGAATGAGCATGAAGGGGATGATGTTCATCAGCATCACCCCAAGAACCACCCACTTGAAGCCGATGTGGATGAAAATGTAGCCGGAGAACGGCTGAAGGATCACATACGACCAGTAGAAGGCCGATAGTAGGACACCGGTGTTGTTCCAAGTGTAGGTCTTTTTGGAGATTTCAGGGTTTTAGTGGGTTTTGATTAAATAACCTGTTGGGCTGATGTTTTTAATAACCTGTTGAGTGTCAGGTGTTTAAGGGGAAATTTCACCTACCATATGGAGATGTAGGTGTAGGAGGAAGCTGATCAAAGAGTCAAAGACCCATACTTAGGATGTTGGAGGTTGGATACAAGGAGGAGAGATAGTGAAGAAGGGAAAGGTCGAATTGGACAACTTCGTAGCTGATGAACGGAAAGGGGCGGGGCTACGAATAGCAGCGGTAATAGTTTTCGTAGCCCCGCCCCTTTCCGTTCATCTTTCAATACTTAGAAAGTTGGTGGTTGGATGCAAGGAGGAGAGATAGTGAAAAAGAGAAAGGTCGAATTGAACAATTCCCTAGTTGATGAACGGAAAAGGGCGGGGCTACGACTAACAGCGGTAGTAGATTTCGTAGCCCCCGTAGCTAGGGAGTGGTTCAATTCGACCTTTCTCTTGTTCACTATCTCTCCTCCTTGTATCCAACCTCCAACCTTCTAAGTATTGACCTTGCCAGGAAGAGAGGAGGCTTGGGAGAAGGAAAACGATTAAATTACAAAAAAAACCAACAGGCAGGTAGAAACCGTGATAATGGAGGCGTTTTTTTAATTGAGCAATCCTTAACTGAATTGATCATGTAAACGCTTTGAGCTTTCACTAGAAGTTTTGAGCTGTTTTCAACCTCAAAGACGCAGTTCGATTCATATGAGTTCTGGGAAGGAGGGAAACATGATAAGAAGAATGTTTGAATATAAGTATGCGACGAAACCAATACAAGAAATATGGCGTTAATGAATTGAAAGAGGAGGACTGATAGGAGTAGCAAAGAGGAAGCAACCTCGTGCCTTAGAAGGAAAGAGGAGGTTCTAGAATCACCTTGAAGCTAATCAGAATATCGGGCTGAACAAAGAAATGACAAAAACATATATGAATTGTCATAAACATCCATCAGAGAAAGCACAAAGAAGAACATTTTAGTCTTTTAATGGATTTTGCTCGAAYAATCTGTTGAASTGGTGTCRTMMGTGAAAACCWRAATGCAGAGAMAAATGCAGAGAARCAGRCAARAAAGRCGGAAGCAMAGAAGAGAAATAATATTCACGTAGTAAAGCGGTAAAGAGAAAAAGATACATTTTTTTARGAATGAAGAAAGACAATATAAAACWTGTATTGGTGGATGACAGRAAAAACAGAAGAATAWRAACAACGCAYAATGGAAATAACACAGAGAAGAGAAGCYAAACAGGACRAAATGGAAKMAAAAATGGAAACACTYTACAKAGYTTTAATGACTTTAGTGCATGTAAAAGAATGAGAGAAATAACTGGCCAGTACATAAAGAGAGCAGTTGGAAAACTGGCCAATGATCACGAAGAAATGGTTGTGAACCAAGGAACTTCTTTATAAACTTGGAGAAACTGCTTAGGAGACTCAGCAGATTAAAGCAACCATAAAAATAAAATAAATATAAAATATAAATAAATACCCAACAAGCAGTTTGATTGTTGGGTATTTGAAGTTGGGCAGTTGAAAAAAAACCATAAAATGTTGATCGCAGAAAAAACCTCAGAACCGGCCGGAATACAGACGGAGGATCAAGCTTTCGTATGAAGAATCAATACCATCAGCTTAACGAGCCATTTATTATAGACTTTCAAAAGGCGTTTGATCAAATCCGGAACAGAAGGTGCTACAAGCCCTCAAAGGAACCGCAAAGGAGGATAAAGATTTAAGAATTCTCCAAAGAGTGTGACCAGAGCCACAAGAATCAGCACTGTAGGTGAACCAGCAGAAGTTGTATTATCTTTCCTCTGATATTCTACTGGTAATGGATATATTGAGCGAAGCTTTGGAAAAATTACGAACATGAATCGTTTCAAACGGCGTGCGTTTCAATAACCTCCGCTATGCAGATGATATCGTCATGTTTGCAGATGAGATGCAACGGCTTTAGAAAACACTGTCATTTATTTCTTACGAGCATTCGAGGCGTGACTCTATTGAACAATCGTACAAAGTAGGTGACACAAGAACTATGATAAACATCTAAGCATTATCCAAAACTAAGGAGAACAGGCCAACCACCAAAATATACTGTACTAATCTCTGCTCCGATCCCCTTTATCTCGCAGAAGAGATATTGTTTAAACAATTGTTTTAGGCGGCTCTTGTCTAAATAATCTCCTCTATGCGGACGACACCGTAATGTTTGCACATGACATAGTGAATGAATTGTACAGATTAACTCACTGGTATATCTGGATTTGAGGACGCATTGCTATCAGTCATCGCCACAATAGCCAGCGACATGGTAGATCTGGTCAAAAAATTGCAAATCAAGTAAGTGTGCAGTAGAATCGTCATAACGTGCCTGATGCCGAACCATGGCACTAAAATAGAGGTTAATTTTACTCAAAAACTGTGCTTACCTCGTCCTGCTTACCTCTGGCTGGTTCGTTTCGTTCGGCCTCCATCGCTTTCTCATCCTTATATTCACTTGTTTGCGAAATCATCCTCGGTGGAAATATGGGAAATAAACCCAACTGAAGATCAGTGAGCGAATGCTAAGGATTAAACGTCTGCGAATTGAATCAAATAAAGATTAATTCGAGTTAATATCATAATCAATTCGGATTATGATTTATAACTGATTGCGGAACTATTGCGGAAATTGGCCCTAAAAATCGCACTAAGCTTCGAGAAAATCACATTGAATGTACAGTTTCTGTACCGAAACCCTCAGGAAACCGCGGAAATCCAAAACACAGTCTAAGCGGTCGAAATTCTTGTCGAATCATCCTTAATGGCGAACTTTCAGTTTTATTGTATGTCTTACTATCACTAATCAACCGATTTTAATGACGATGCGGACATTGACGCGATATTCTCATACGTGTGGTCTTATAAAAGGTGGTTCTACAATAAAACACTTGGTCGTTGTTTCCAGACTAGATTATATCAAGTTGGACGTATTTTTTGACCACCCTGTACAGTTTGGATACTTACAGTTCTTCAAGTTATCAAGGGAGGTTAAGTGGCGACAAGTTCAAATAAACGTAATAGTTTTATAGTGAGTGTCTATATCAGATGTGGACAAATGTGACTACAAATTTGCATCAACGTTTTTTTCAACCACCCTGTATTTTACTTTAAATTTATAATTATTTTAATTTAAAAAAAAACGCTCTTGTTCCTCAATGTCTTTTATCTAACAAAATGAAGCTGATAGTAGTTGAGTCTTAGAGCTCTGGCTCTGTTTGGGTTTGTTGACGTTTGCTTCGGTTAGTTTGGTTTCGCTTCCGTTTGTTGGGGTTTCTTTGAGTTTGCTTGATTTTTTCTTGTTTTCGATGCCTCTAGATGCTGTGCTCTCGCTCAATTAGATACTCGATTAGATTTGGTTCTCCAAAATGTTTTCAACAAGGCGACGCCGCCGTTTATATCGAAAAGTACCAAAATCTTATCATGGCGTCTCATTTAGAATATCAAAGTTGTAGGTTGTTTTACATATAAGCGACACATCCGAAACCCTAACCTATTTCATTGCATTTTAACCTCACTTTAAGGTTGATCAGTGGTTACTTGCGCTTTTGACATTTCAGAAGCAACAAGTCGATAGACGCCTATTTACGTATCTAATGTTAATGCTGCAGATTACCTTGAGACATTGTTGCCGTCCTTCTGATCTAGTTTTTTGCAAATATCTCACTTTTTGACAAAAATTATTTTTTTTACTACGTGTTCTGTACTCCCTGAAACCCCTCAGAGGAATGGCGCCCATTTTGAATCCCCCTGTATTAGCCCCACTCATTTATTTTTTTTCTCTCTTTCGCACCTTTCACACATAATTTTTCCCTCTATACAGGGGTTGTTCATGATACGTTATAAGTCATGCTTTCAGCGTTGCGATAAAATCCTGACGCAAAAACAGGCGCGATTTTGCGCCCAATTTGTTTAAAAAAACGTGATTTGCAGGTGCAGTCAAAAACATAGTTGCCACATTTATGTGACAGCTTTTGGCTATTTTCTCGGTTTTTTATAAGAATTTTTCCGCCACTATCACCCTGTGTACAACAAAACATACAGTTTGTTGCAGTAACAAAGAAAGATGTTAACTCACTGATGCAAAGTGTTAATTGATCATGCAAACATGAAAACTTTATTGGTGTAAATTTCATTTATAAACCGCGCTATAAATAATTTTAACTTAGCAAAATATTACGTAACTTTCGAATAAGTAAGACATGTGATGCGGGCTCACGCCGATTCTTTACGACTCTATTTTTTCCCACCTATTTATAGGTGTTTTTTGTTTATAATTTGAAAAGTTGAGGCGCTTTACCACTTTGATTTAATGCTCGCTTGACATCATTGGGATAAATACGGTTTGATCATAAGATCAGCTTCTATTGCCTTTCCTCATTTTTTCTGGTTCTCGAGTTCCACCAAGGGACCTCAGCGCTGCCCAGTAGGATGAAAAATGGGCAGGTTACAAACTCCACTGCTGCCAATGATAAGAATATTGATCTCCATCTGGCAACATCAGTCTAGAAATGTTCATTAATCCCTAAAAAGGCTCGTGGTCCTAGTTCGGAGTACTTACCAAATCTGCCACCATCAGTTGGTTGAAAATGGGCGCAAACATTGCAATCACTTGCCCAAGAGTGTTTTCCAGCCCCATCAAAACGCCTGTATATCTGGGCGAAAGATCAACGTGATTGATCAGAGAGCCGAAAAGCTTCACAGCGCTGATAGCTTGGATATTGAGGAGAATCACTGCTAAAGTGGTTTGCTGCTTGGTGAGGAATCCCAACCATATCAGCACCAGCATTGGGATGTAGGAGCCTGGTATTTAACAAGAAAATCACCACGGTCCAAGAAGAGTAGTTGGGGAGAAGTACTCAAGGATTGATTGATTCTCCTCCAGGTCCACAAGCTGATTCATCCTCTTGACACCCAGAAGTCCCTCAAAAAAGCCCATGGGATGTTGATCAATACCTTCATCACTGCAGGTGAAGCAGACGCAGCTCCATGCTGGAAACTCCCCCATCAGTCTCAACTGGGGCGATTAGCTATTTCACTCACCGATGCCACATCGAAACCTAAAGCCTTACTCAAATACAAAGGAATTTGAGTGTCGAAGACCGTGAGGGTCCAAGAAACGCCCTGAGTCTTCTGAGTCTTTTGACCCCAAACACTCCTCGATATATMTTTGCTCGGTTTCGCTGATCATTGAGTGAGTGTGAGACGGTGATTCAGAGGCGAAAATCGCCCATAAKWCACACCACACAAGACAAACGGCTCCTAATATGTAGAAGAGAGMAGKYCRACCCCAGGCGCTGGCCGATWTGAAGCCAGTACTCRAAGAGGCCGCAATAAATCCCGTTTTAACTCCTGCAAAATGTGCTCGAAAGTTCGATTGTTCCCATTAACACTGAGCACYCTACCGGATTCTGCTACYATTGCTAGAAGCGATCGTTCGTTCTTAGRGGCCCACTAGCTTAAAGCATGTTGGACTGCTGGGAAGGTGAAGCCTTGAAACAKKCCTTGAATGACTCTGAAAATGCWTATGAACTTTGAGGAGGAAGTTATRAGGATGGGTTCTACCTGCAAACGATCAGCCCGGGCGATCCAAACCGGAAAACCGCAGCAGGGATGAGCATGAAGGGGATGATGTTCATCAGCATCACACCAAGAACCACCCACTTGAASCCGATGTGGATGAAAATGTARCCGSAKAATGGTTGGAGGATCASATACGACCAGTAGAAGCACRACAATAACAYGCCAGTGTTGTCCCAATTGTAGGTMTTTTTGGAGATGTCAGGGTTTTAGTGGGTTTTGATTAARTAACCTGTTGRGCTGATRTTTTTAATAACCTGTTAAGTGTCAGGTGTTTAAGGGGACATTCCACCTACCATATGGAGATGTAGGTGTAGGAGGAAGCTGATCAAAGAGTCAAAGATYCATACTTAGAAGGTTGGAGGTTGGATACATGGAAGAGAGATAGTGAAGAAAGCAAAGGTCGTATTGAACAACTTCCTAACTGATGAACGGAAAGGGGCGGGGCTACGAAGAACGACAATAACACGCCAGTGATAACAGCCAGATGATAACATGGCGATGTGCCTGAAATTTTCCGCAAATTTGGCCTGGGAAGACCGAAACTTTGTTTCCGAATCTTCGTCTTAGTAGACTTTATCAGAAGCTCCTAACCTATAAAAACATAGGAAGAAAATGTGAGATCTTGGGCTCGAAGCCGACAACGAAAAAAATCTAGTTAGTTGGATGCTTTCGATCCAGCTTCTCGAATAACTATATGTTTGCCTCATTCCTAACCTCTAAACAGATATAAGGCAAAGTTTAGAGAGTTTAGTGGACCTTAAAGTTCCGATGTACAACTCTATGTATCTGAGATACGGCTTGATAAATCAAATCAGGCGTTAGGACCTTTTTTATAGATCGTTTCACGAGTTGTATTTTGCTGCTCAGGCTGTATCCAAAAGTTCTAACCTATAACGAGACAGAGGCAAAATTATCAAAATTAGGAGCTTCAAAGCGTCTACCTGGGCCACGGTGAAAGATTCCAGAATTGGCCTTAGAAACTTTTTTGAGACCGTTTGGCCTCATAAATGTTTATCAGGAATTCCTAACCTCTAAACAGACAGAATAGCCCAGGTTTCACAGTTTTCCAAGAGCTGGAACTTTAAAACACCCTAAATCTCAAGAACAGTTAGAAATATCAAATCATCCATTTACATATTTTTGGTGGCCTTTTTCAGCAGCTGTATTTTACTACTTAGGTTTTATGCGACATTCCTAACCTCTAAAACGATTGAAGTAAAAGTCAATGTTTCTGGAGCAGTGGGAGTGTAGAAGCTGATATCTGGCCAACGGAGGAAAATAACTGAATATGCCTTAGAACCTTCTCGATGGAGCGTTTCGAGAGCTCTCTTTTCCGCACTAGGCTTTATCCCAAGCTCCTAACCTATAAAAAGTTAGAAGGCAAAATGCGAAATATTAACGAAACTGCTTGGTTATTTCAACTAGAAGAACAACCACACGCCAGGAATGTTTCAAGCACACCTAAAAATCTTTGATAGATTATGATGAAGTTCGAAAATTGGTTTAACTTTTTAGACATGTTTGAAAGTTGATTTGCAAATTTTCCTCTGAAGAAGCGAAGAACGTTCAGCGGATATGCAAGTAACATTTAATGGCTCTGTTGGAAAAAGCTTCTGGATGATAAGAACAACCTCTCGCCTTCAATGTTTCTCGCCACTCTGAGAGCATGACTTTGCAAACAACCCCCTAAAAATGAGTATGTTTTTGGCCACAATTTTTCATCAAAATAATTTTTTTACAAATTTCATCGGAATTTGTAACATATTTGTAACCTTTACGCATTTTTTCACAAGTCTGATTGATTGAATGAACAAATTGATTTATAAATCTGCTTCTGAATAAACGAATAAAGATCGTCAAGTAGCACTTAATAGTTATGGGCTGATAAAAACTGCAGGAAGACTGCATGCTCTCGCTCCCAATGTAGCAACGATTTTCCGCCACGCTGAGGGCATGACTTTGCAATCAAAGCCCGTTAAAAATGTGTTTGTTCATTTGTATACAACGCTGTTATCGGTCATATAACATTTAAAAATTAGCAAAAAAACTTTTTGGAAACCGAACAAGCTCCCGATAACAATGTAGTCAAAGTTTTGAGCCTCGCTGAGAGCATGACTTTGTATTCAAACCCCGTTATAAATGAGTAGGTATGTTTTGTATCTTTTAAGCTACCTACACTTTTATACGCATTTTTTCAGCAAAATAATTTTTTAAGCGTATTTTTTTTTTCAAATCCTCACCGGAATGTCTGGATTTATATCGGTCATGGCCACAATAGCCAAAGACATCGAAACCCTCGTTAGGGAGATGCATATTAAGAACGTGTGTAGTAAAACGGCCATAAGATGCCTAATTCCAAACCTTGCAACTGAAAAAATAGGCAATTTCCTGAAATTATATTTTCACGATTGTTTGCGCTCAATATTCTCGTCCATCTCAGACACTGCAGCCGCTTTTTGCATTTTTCTTTCAGTATATCTGCAGGTGAATTAAGCAGCGATGGAGACAAACTGGCTTAAATAAGCAGCAAAATAGGAAAAATTTCATTGAATTAATTCTCTAAACACCCATTGTTTAGATGTAAAGCCTCTTAATTGCCCAGACTTGCATTTAGGCGAAATAGTGCGTTGTTAAAAAATTGCTTAAGTTCGCAATGTTATTCCCAAAGATATAAAATGCATTAAACTAAAACTGATTAAAAAACAACAAAGACTGTAATAAAAAAATGTTTGGACTTTGGTTTAGCCCGTTCAGATTGTAAATAGGTTGCATTCATTACTTCTGCTACTTGGAACTCAAGGCTGAAAAAAACACAGTGCAATATTAAAATAGAATTTATTAAAAATATAATTTTACATAATGATAGAATTCAAATGTATAAACTACACAAGGAATAATTTTCAAGTCAATAGTACAATTCATCAATGTTCTCTAACAGCATAAACCTAAACGGGAATAGAATACATTCCATCATTTCTTCAGCTTAAATCTACTATTTACAGACGTTTTCTTCTAATAAAATGCCCCAAGCGAGGAAATTTTACTCGCTCAGGGAAAAACCGCTCAGACCAACCAAAACATTCTGCAATCGAAATGAGCATGATAAATTAGAATAAATATATCTACTTGAAACGGGTGTTTTTATGTATATATTTATATGGATAGAGACTATTATAGAATTTTGATTAATCTTCAAACACAACCAACACTAACAGCTCGTATTGCAGTTACAAAACCCCCATATGGAAACAATACAGGTACCTAAAATCGTTTTAGAGAAAATGAACTACAAAAATACTCGCTAGTAATACACTGTTTTTGTAAACTTAATTAACTATAAACAAGCTAATTAATTAATCATTATAAATCACAGGTTTGCATCTGAGGGAAAGACTGAATCTTATAGAGATGGTTTTGCTTATGTAAAAATTAACGGGCAATAAAGCGCAAAATCAGCCAAAAACCCTTCAATCTCTCGTTGTGCCCTTTCCCTCTACAACGTTTTACAGAATTATTCAACAGCTCTATTCTACGTGCTTTTCGTACTTTTTTATTTGTAACATTTCCTACAACTAAGGTCCATCCAACTGCTTGCCTAAGAGTTCCTGGCGGTTTCAAGCATTTCCGCGAGGAATGAGTCCAAAGTTACTCCTGACATTAACCTGCAGAATCGGAAATGTTATTTTGCTGATGGCGCTCTATTTAATAAGCGAAATTTACCTGTAAAAAAACAAATGATCCTGGCACTTAAGGCCGATCGACCTGAGCACTGGAAGTCGCAGAAGAAGTTTGGCGAATCGGCCTGGTTCGCTCGGGTAAGTCGTGCGCACGTATTCCTCCATCACTTCGTATATTTTCTCGCGAATAACATTCACGTCCTCCTTGCAGACAAGGCCACGAAACTCTACAACACAAAACAATTATATTAATATTGTCAAAATTCGCGAGAATAGTAGAATTTTCGAAGACACTTTTTGGAATCTTCATGGAAATTATTGGCGCAGAACCCCATCATCTTTGACAAAACTTTGATAATTATCAGAAATATCTAAACTCTTAAACAGTGCAGGCAACACCGCCTTAAGAACAAGGCCCAAGCGTTTAGGCGTGACGTCATCCCCTGTAGGCCAGTTAACGGCGTGACGTCATCCCCTCTAGGCCAGTGACTAATTTTGCTCGCTGGTTGCATTAAAAACAGAAAGTTCGGGGTGAAATGCTTGCATTTAGTAGGTACCTGGATTAAAAAGAATAACAGCCCTAAGACAGGCCAGTTCCGTTTTATCCACTCGGATTTCTCGCAGCTTATTGATGAAATCCTGTATCCACACGTAGATGTTTCCCACGCCGATGGCATGCGATAACGACCTGAAAACAGCCCAAATGAATGGAAAACTTCTTTGCCGGAGCGATTGACTCACTCATTGATTGTTAAGCCAGTGGCGAGAAGAATCCCCTGTTGAACCGTCATCGAGCGATGGGCCAGCGCCATAATGTGTAGTTCATTCCAGCTGTTCTTCAAGAGAACAATCTGATCCTGCATGTTCAGCTGAGTGAAATGTGGCAGAAGTTTCGCCCATTCGAGCAGCTGCAACAGTTGCGAGTTGGATGCATGTCTGATGTTGCTGTTGATGTTCTGCAAAACGACACGAAATTCGTCACAAAACCAGTTCAGGGCAGACGCTGATAAAAATTGTTTTGGTGCACATTCCGAGAACTAATCTGGAATCCTAAATAGCCATAAAACACACAAGGTCGACAGTGCATTGACGCCCGAAACGCAAATAAATGCACCGTCTTTATTAGTTGCTATTCGATTATTTCGATGGCTTTTCCCATATCAGACACCCGAAATAGATCTTTTTTTGCGCTTAGAATCGCATTGATGAATGCGTTTTGATCAGCCACTCGAAAGGTCGATACCATTTCATTAAGCAAACAGTTTCGTTACTGGAAATTCAGGCGCGTCTGGACGCACTGGCACTATTTTGTTGCGCATTTTCAATACTTTTCACTGGAGGAAAAGAACCAGCCCCACATTTTTCACCTGCCAAAAAGGCTTGCAAAAATGTAAATGTTTTAAATGAAACTTTCCCCCTAAAGGGTTGCTTAAACAATTTCGCTAAAATCGCAATAAATCTCGATTTACCCAGACTGAATAAATACGAGTCTTAAATTAAAGTAGCGACATGCAATTTTCTCAGTCGATAGCCAATAGTCGGTTCTGAAAGCCTAAAAATTGTGATCGAAATCACATTAAATGCTGTTTTGCGTCCTTTGCTGATGTCTCTGAGAATGAAAGCTTGAATTCAGAAATTCATTCTCTTCGAAACTTCTAAACGGAAGCAGGTAGCGACTTGAAATTTGCCCCGATTATCGCGAACATGTCAATCTTGAAACGTATAATTTTTCATTTAAATCGCATCGAATCTCAATTTTTACACCCTTGGTAAATGAGTTTCATCCCTGAAGTATACTTTCGTTGAAAAATTCATAACAACTCCCAAACCAGGGCAGGTAGCGACTTGCTATTTGGACAGTCTATAGCCAACACCGGACGATGATAGTGCTAAGCATTTCAAGAAAATTGCAAGAAATCTCGATTTTTGCAAGCTTTGTGAATAAGGGCCTCGACACGAAATTACAACCCAAATGTTGGCATTTTAATTAAAATCTACCACTGATAAACTAGACAAAGTTACAGTCGAAAGCCTGAAGTTGAAGCTTGAAATTGCCGAATTCTTATCGAAATTGCACTCAATAAAAATTTATGTGAACTTAGCAAATGTGTATTCGCCCTCTCATAAAACTACATCACTTCCATAATAGCACAAGCATAAACTTGAAACTGAACTGAAAAATTCGTGCTTATGTGGAGCCAGTAGCAACACAAGACGCTCACTGTCTATAAAACTCCATTGATTTATTAAAATTACCCTGAAATTCGAAAAACTTGATTAACGCTGGCCGAAAGTGTGGGTTTTCACGCAATTGCAAATTCCTTAATTCGCATCCGGAACAAGAACCAACTTGAAATTTTTACAACATAGAGAAGACATTTGTGGCTGCAAGTTCAAAAAAACTCGTTGGAATCAAACTAAATTCTGATTTTTACCAGCTTGATGAATGCAGGTCTGAAAATGAACGGTTTCAGACAAGGGCGTGTTAACTTATAAAAATTGCTGACTTACAACCTATAGAAAGATGGGAATTTGAAAAAACCTGAAAGTTTCATTCATACCGTGCTTTATCCCGATTATTGCCAACTTTCTAAACGTTGGTCTGAAGTTGAAGGTTTTTACACACCTTTGAAAATGCATAACCTCTCATCTATAGAATGAAACTCCATAAATTCTGTACTTTTCAGCTTAAACAAGTGGCAACTTGAACTTCGTCTAGTCTATAGAAGATATTTATGTGTAAAAATCATGATAATTTCATTCCAACTGCTTTAAATTCTGATTTATGTCCAGATTCTGGCTTGCAAATGAAAGTTCTCACACAAGCGGCCTTTAAAAATTCGCATAAAGAGTCAATGGCCATATGAAGAGCTTATTGTCTAAAAAACGCACTTGATTCTGAAAAGGCTGAAATTTTAATTGAAATCACGCTAAATTCTGATTTATTTGCAACCTGATTATCGCTGTCCATAAATACGGGTTTTCACTAATTGCACAATTTTTCTTACAAATCTTTTAATTTTCGTCCAGGGCACGAAGCAACTTGAAATTTTTGTAACATGAAGAAAACATTTGGACTTAAAAATTCTGAAAAATCCGTTTGAATTACACTTAATCTCAATTTTTGTTAGCTTGAAAAATGTTAAGGTGGTAAAAGTTTGGGAAATCCTCTCTAGATGATACCTACTTGCAATCTAATTTAGTTCGATGGAAGGAAGAATTTGGGTGAAAAAACAGAACTTTTCAAAATGTCCGAATTAGCCACCAATTAAAAGACACTGACGGCTTAGCAATGATTCTTGTAACCCGGCTCGAAGGACCAATTTTGTTTGTTTTTTGAACATCGCCGGTATATATTTATTTGTTGCTTGACGCATCAGACATTCAAAACCGTACCAAAGCGGGATAGGAAAAAATACGGCGACACTTCATTGAAATTGAAGGTTTTTACACAAGCGCACGTTTTCCTTTGAAAATGCATAACTTCTCATCTAGAAAATGAAACTCCATAAGTACTCGTTTAAAAATGAGTGTGTTCTTGCAAGTGCAAGTTCTCTTCTGAAAATTCTGTACTTTTCAGCTTAAACAAGTGGCAACTTGAACTTCGTCTAGTCTATAGAAGATATTTATGTGTAAAAATCTTGATAATTTCATTCCAACCGCATTAAATTTTGATTTATGCCCAGATTCTGGCTTGCAAATGAAAGTTCTCAAACAAGCGGGCCTTTAAAAATTCGCATAAATAGTCAATGGCCATATGAAGAGCTCATTGTCTGAAAAACGCACTTGATTCTGAAAAGGCTGAAATTTTAATTGAAATCACGCTAAATTCTGATTTTTTGCAACCTGATTATCGCTGTCCAAAAATACGGATTTTCACTAATTGCACAATTTTTCTTACAAATTTTTTAATTTTTGTCCAGGGCACGAAGCAACTTGAAATTTTTGAAACATGTAGAAAACATTTGGACCTAAAAATTCTGAAAAATCCGTTTGAATTACACTTAATCTCAATTTTTGTTAGCTTGATAAATGTTGGTCTAAAAATTGCGGTTCTCACACCTGTGCACGTTAGCCTTTAAACATTAGTAACTTCTCAGCTATATAAACTAAGAACCGGAAAATCGTTCAGGCTATGGCAGGAATCATTCCGGAAAATGTCATTAAAATTTGCCGATTTGATAAAAACTAAATAAGAATGTCTTCACACTTTTTTAAGTGTTAAAATACAGTTCAGCAGAAATCAGTTTCAGAATAAACCAAGTGCTCCGTTACACTGGTCTGGGTTTGTAAAGTGTTCTTTGTGTATATGATTCTTGCAATCTAATTTAGTTCGTTTTGAATCAAGTTTAGTTCGATACAATGAAGAATTTGCGTTAAAAAACAATACTTTTCAAAATGTCCGAATTATCCACCGATTAAGACACTGACGGCTTAGCAATGATTCTTGTGATCCGGCTCGAAGGACCAATTTTGTTCGTTCGACACTCAAACCCATACCAAACCGAGATAGGAAAAAATACGGCGATTTCTCTCTTTAGTTTTACCTCTAATGACGCCGATACTTCATTGCATTCGACGCGTTTCTCAGCTTCAACTATTCGCTCCAATGGCATGTCCACAGCTATGCTGGAGGTGGACTCCACTTCTGAGTTGTCTCTGTCCTTCGTCCTCTGCCGCTCCTCTTGGACAGCTTCGCGCTTCATGCCCATAGTGAGACACTTTTGGTATCGGCAATACTGACATCTGGAATCCACCCCCAAAAAACCCCATTTATTCTCGAACACTTTGCGGGTCAAGTGACTGGTTTTTACCTGTTTCTTTGTCTTTTGTCAATAATGCAGTTCTTTTCCTCTCGACAGGCGTAGGAAAGATCTTTTCGGACAGTTCGCTTGAAGAATCCTTTGCAACCTTCGCAACTGCAAAAATACACGATTATTTGATCATTTTATCAGTTGCAAGTGAATTACAATAAATTTCCTGTACCGGGGAAGAACTGAATTAAATCATTCGAAAATACCTCGATTCAACTTGCAATTCCAGCCATTGTTTCGGGGCAAGATAATTCGAATCGAAGACGAGAAAAAGTAAATTGTACTTTTTGAGTTTTCCTGGATTGATGACCCAGAAACAATGAAGCGTCCAATACAAATGTGCATGAGTTCGATGGAATCATTCGATTATAAAATGGGATATTACTAATCCCTGTTTTGTACAGTCCAACCAATTCTTCCCACTACGGCTTCACGATCTTCTTTCTGTCTCAACTAACCTATATACTCCATAGTGTTTCCCACTCGCTCTATCCCCACAAATCGAGCACAGATGTTTGGAGCCGCTTAACGGATGGTTGGGGGGATAGGGACTGCCCTGGCCGCCCTTTTGCCCTCCTCCTCCACTCCCCGGCGACGGACTGAGCAGCCCCACTTGCCCCAACGCGTACGAGTTGGGGCTGTTGGGGCCCTGGGGGCTGAACTGGCCCAATGTGGCGGCATCTGGCTTCATGTCTAGTGGGGATTGCGGTCCTATCGGTCCCATCGATAAGTTGGGGTCGAGGCTTAAACCTGCAAAAATAGGGTGTTTTCACATTTTTAAATGTTGATATATAGAAAGTAGTTATGGCAAACATTACACTGATTGATTTTTTTGCAAAAAAAGTCTTCATAGTAATTTTAAAGCGAATTTAAATTCAAATCAGATATTTTCCGCCAAAAACGCCGAATCCGTATCGTCGGTTGCCTATCCCGATTGTGACGTAGCAGGTCATATCAGCAAAGTGTCTCGTGTTTATTTTGTTGTTTTCGCAGTTTTGTTTTATTATTTAAGCTATTGTGATTATCATTATTTTATTGATTATTATTATCTTGCATAATGGAAAATAGTGACATGTATGGATGACAAAATAAGTGGTGTTTTGTGCCAGGATGCAAGAATACCTCAATGAGTGCCCCAAACAAACTCTTTCTAACCGTTCCTCATGATTATGCACGTGAAGTTTTATGGTTCAAAGGAGCTAGACGTGATGTACCTAAATCAAGAGAGTAACTAATAATGAATTTACTGATTATTACTTACGATGCTGCTTTGACACCCTTATTTTTAAAAATTCGGTAACCATAAAAATATGTACACATGGTAAATTGTTTGTTGACGCGTTAAGGAATCCTTCTGAAGCCATTTTTAAGTTTAACACAAACTATAAATTATTTAAATCCACAAAATAATTAATGAAACACAACCACACAACGAAACACTATGCACAAAACGTAGATAATCCGCCATTTATATGACCAGAGACGTCACAACCAACGAGCGTTTTAGAGATTCATGAATAATTTGAATTTTAGCTGAATTTGTTTATTAAATATTTAACAAAATAGCAATAGATAGATAGTAAAAACGTATTTAATCTTTCATATATATATATTACCATAGATTAATGTTCAGTTTGTAGGAATTTTTGATACAATGATAACCCTATTCCCTCATTGAGTGACAGTCGCCCTTGAGACGTGAGCTCGAACGGATATAAGAAGGAACATTAAAAATGTTCAACGAACCATTTCGGACCAACTGCGCGTAATTGATGTTTACGACCATTAGAGACAATTAATGCGCGTACTTGGCAATGACATCCGAACAAAGGACGTGCTTGCACGTTTTTTGTTTTAATCGCTTTATTTTAATTGTTATGGCTATTTTTACTTTTTTGTCTCGTTTTTGCCTAATTTTTAAAGTGTTTTTGTTCACGCAAATTTTGCCATCACTTTGTCAGAAAGTCAAAGACAAAAACTTTTTCAAGAGATGGAATGGAAAAAGCTGTGAAACGATCCTCGTTCAAATAAGAACGCTGTTTTGAGGTTGAGAAAGACCCTGGCGCCTCTGGATTGATTTCTACTCATGCTTCTGTCTTCTAGATTAAGGGATAGATAAATCTGGTACGACATCTGCAAGTGTTGTGTGGCGCTTTTGTGTTTGCCGCTCTGTGCCTCAATGCGTTATAACACCTCGCATCTCACGGCGCAACCCCATTAACAACATTTTTATATTTATTATATTATTATAACAGCACGTGTACTGTCTCATAAATTGCGCTGACGCGTCTCAGCCGTATCGGCATCACTGCGCCAACACCTGAAAATTCACTGTGTTACCCAGAAAATACTGCAAAAACCCGGAAGAAAGCATGAAAAATTGCACAAATCTAAGTCCTGTTCATGAAGGACAAGCAAAAGATAAGCAGGAGCAGCAGGTACCGATATCTCGGCTAAAATAGATGGCAAAGATTCTGGGGCGAGTTAATGGACAATTTTTTTTAAAGGACTAGAGAATCTCCAACGCATTTAAGGGCGTAAACATGCAATTTTGAAAAAAAAACACTTTTTATGATGCATTGAGCTCATACACTCAACACAGTGTTACCCAGGTACAGTGATTTCGTGCTACTAACCCAACTATTTTTAAAATGTTCACACTTTTGACTAATTCTGAATGCATTTGAAAACCCAAATTGCATTTTTCAGAAAAAAAAACAGTTTTGAGGACACTATGCGGACTGGAAGATTGAGTAGGATCCTGGTGAAAAAAGCGAAAATTGATCAGTCAGAAACTATGCAACGAATTTTCCTGTTGATTCAGTGGCTCAATACGTGCCTGGAGTGATTGCATAGCTACAGCCCCCGTTTGTTTTTATTCACTTTTGACCTGCAGACGACTTCTATTCAAGGTTTCAGCGATTTTAATGGTCGGGCGGCACGATCGGACAACACAGTGCGGGAATAGGAAGTTGAGCTGGCGAAAACCCATCAAGGTCTTGAGGTCTATTAATTAGGGTCATCGCTGTGAAAAATGCGGGTACGGCCCATGCATCGGCTGGCACGGAAAAACGCATTTTGTGCCTGATTTGCATAGAATGCATTAACGAGTAGCGATAGCGGCTGAAAAAATACACGCGAAACTGGATATGTTATGAAACATCCACTTACAATGTATGTAATCAGGTTATCTTACATCCTGTAGGAACTTGAGAAAGTGATCTATTCGAGTTTTGATGAATGTACAGCCGATGTTTCGCCTGCACTTGGGGCGATCATCCTCAAGGGCGACACCAAATGAAGCGTGCGTCGGTTTTTTAAGCGTCAGGTGGATAACCATAGACCCGGAACTGTGGTTTTATTCATTACATCATAGTATTGTGTGATAATTCGTAGAAAATTCCCATTAATGGGTTTTTAACAATGTTCGGAGAAGCGACTCTAGTGCCGTTTACCTGCTGGTTTATTTAAAATTGGATGGTTTCAGTGGAGCTTTTGGGAAAATGGGGACACAAAGACTGCAAAAATGCAATAAGAACAATTGCAAATTGCAATAGTCACTTTTCTGGGCTGTTCACGGCCCAGAAAACTCGTGAACATTTTCAAGAAACTCGTGAATTTAGCTAAAAACGGGAATGTTTGACAAGTTTTTGCATTTTTGCGACGCTATTTTTGTTAAAACTGGAAAATATCGGTTTTGCGCAATAAAATTACAAAAATGCCCATTTAAACTGTGCGGGTTTAGGTGCAAATGCGATCTAAAGTTCAGTCTTTTTTCGTCATGATTCGTGAAAATTTGCAATAAAGTCGCATTCTTGAACAATTTTAGAGTTAAAAAGAAGCGTTTTTGCGATATAAAATTGCCAAAAACTACCTTTAGGATGTCCGAGTTAGCCGCTCATGGAACTTATGAAAATTCACATTTCCGTACAATTTTTCGCTTTAAAACGGCAAAAATCCAACTTCAAATTGTGAGGGTCTAGCAAATGCAACAACTGAAAACTCACATTTATTCATTCATTCGCAAAATTGCGCCAAAAAGTAGTCGGATTTTGCGACATTTAAACGAACGTTTCCACACTATGAATTGGCAAAAAACCTACGTTTAAATTGTGCGGGTTTAGACGCAAATGAGATTTGAAGGTATGACTAAAAACTTCCATTTCTGTTCTTTAAAACTCGTAAATATGCGAGAAAAAGTCGGTTCTATGAACATTTGTTAGACCTTAGAAGATTGATTTTCCGCAATAAAATGGTTAAAAAGTCAGGCTCGAATGCGCAAAAAAGTCGAATTTACGAAAAATTATTACACCATTTTGTGCTAAAAAATTTGTTTTAATTGTGGGGCTTTAGTCGCAAATGGGACTTGAAAGAACAGTTGAAAATTTCCAATTATCGTTTTTATTCGAAAAAAAGTTCGTCAGATTTTCGGGCAACTGTTATGCTTTAGGACAACAATTCTGAGCAAAAAAATGAAAAAAATGCAGGTTTAAATTGTTCGAGTTTAGGTGCCAATGGACCTTTTGAAAAACAATTCAAAGATTTAATTTATTTCTGTTCCAATTCGTAAAAATTCGAAAAAAAGTCGGGTTCTTGGAGAATTGTGAAAAATGGCCAAAACGCATGGCCAAATTTCCGTACTAAAGCGCAAATATGACTTGAAGGCACTTTTTATTACTTTACAGAAACGATTTTGCTCTAAAAACTGGTAAAAATGCATGTTTCAATTGTGCGGATTTCGGCGCAAATGGAGCTTAATAAGAAACAAGTCGAATTTTTTTACATTTGTTGAACAAAGTTGAAAAAATTCCACGTTAAAACTGTGCTGGTTTGGACAATGAACATTCACATTTCCATTTTTTATTCGCGAAAATTTTCGGCAAAAGTCGGATTTATGGACAACTGTTACGTTTTGGAGATACAATTCTGTGGCTCTAACTAAAAAGAACTATGGAAAACTCACATTTCTTTTTCTTTCTCTCTTTAGAGCACAATCTGGCAAGGCATAAATGTGTTAAAATTGTGCGGCTTTAGGCGAAAATAGGTTTTAAAAGAACAATTGAAAATTTGCAATTATTTCTTCTTATTCGTAAAAATAATCGGTTTTTTTGGTGAGGATATCGGATGTGACATGAAAACTAACATTCGTTTTTAATTATTGCGTAAAATTTCGAATTTACGGGCAATTGCGCGGTTCAAAAAGGCGGTGTTGGGAAGAGGCCCAATACTTAAAAGCTTCGGTTTTAAAAAGTGATTATATAATGAACCCGGTTATAGTAAACTTTCGGTTAAAACGAACTTTTATTATTTAATTTAAACGTCGTCCATAAAGACCAACGTATTTTTTTACTAGTTATAACGAACCCGTTTATAACGAACTTCCGGATATAACTATAACTTTTTAGGATAGTTGTATATTCACTTTCCGTTTATAACGAACTTCCACGCTCAGCAACACCAATCCGGCGGAGTTGTTTATATTGGTGAGACTTGTTGTTTTTTTGTCGCGTTATGTATGTAAATCGTTTTAGAATGGAAAAACAAAAACGGAAAGCTTTTTCACTAATTAAAAAGTACGAGATTAATAACAAAATAAAAAGTGGAGTAAAGCAGAGTGACATTTGTAAGGAATTAGCATTTGGAAAGTCTACTGATGCAACAATATGGAAAAACAGAGAAAACATTTTATCAGCGTATGACAAAACAAATGTTAGATGTAGGAAGTTAAACTTATCTGCACATGAAAAGGT